ACATTATATACAGTATAACTCTCATTGCCACGTACTGTTTAGATAGTTCACATGTATTAACTTACTATGCCCCACAACAACCCTCAATCATTCCATTTCACAGATAAGGAAACTGAGGCAACTTTCCCAAGGTCACACAGATATTAGGTGGTGGAACAGGCATTTGAATCCATGGGACCTGGGTCTGAAGTCCCAGCTATTAACCATCTGTGAGGACACTGCTCTCCTCCAGGTTAAGGGCTGCAAAGTGTAGTCTACCAAGTGATTGTCTTTATCTAACCACTCCTCCTTTGATATGCATTCTGGTTGCTTCTCGGACTTGACTATTATCTACCCAGCTGCAGAAACACCCTTGTGATTAACATTTTGTGCTCTTGGGTAAATACATTTATAAGAGAAGTTTGGGAAATGAAACCACTGCATTGTCTAAAATTTGGTAGTTATTGCCAAATTATATCCCATTGTTTTATTTCACTAATGTGTTCTCCCCTTGTTTGTGTATGAGAATGAGGAAGTAGCCCAGAAGTCCAGTAGCTAGAAAAGGGGAAGCTTGGTCCTAGATGAAAAGAGAATGAGCAGAGACACTGACCTGTGTGCTCTGTGAGGTCGACTAGCTCATCTTTGTTCAACAAATAGTTATTGTGCCCTCCCTGAGTGCATTGGGACAATGGAGACAGAGTCATAGCACACACACAGACATGGTCTATGCTTTCATGGGACAGACAATCTATGGAAGAGAGACGTTAACGAAGTAAACACAGGGTGAAAATATAACAACAGTGTGCAAGAAATGCTATGGGGGAGAAAATGGAGTGCTGCGGGAGGGAATAATGGAGGCTTTCTTTAGAGAGGGTGGTCAGGGAAGAACCTTCTGGGGAAGAGACATTGCACTGGGGACTGAAGGAAGAGTCGAAATTAACAGAAGAGTTGAAGGGAGCAAGGCTGTTTCCCGACTCCTAAAGAAGTTGGAGTGTCGGGTGGGGCCAAGGCCCTAGAGCCTTTGCGGGGGTGGGGGGGGGGGGGGCCCTAGAGCCTTTCGAAGTACTGAAGGGTTTAAGTGAGGTGTTGATCTCATTTACATTTTTGCAGATTCTCATCCGCCAGGTAGGGACTGGATCAGAGCAGGAACAAGAATTTAAGTAGGGAAAGTGGCTAGGAGGCTTGCCTAAGGTGGCGGGAGAGGAGCCTGTGGACTAAAAGAGTCTCCCAAGATGCCAGGTGCAGACTTCATTTGAATCCTGATTTTTTTTTTTTTAAAGATTTTATTTATTTGTCAGGGACAGAGGGAGAGAGAGCGAGTGAGCACAGGCAGACAGAGAGGCAGGCAGAGGCAAAGGGAGAAGCAGGCTCCCTGCCAAGCAAGGAGCCCAATATGGGACTCGATCCCAGGACTCTGGGATCATGACCTGAGCTGAAGGCAGCCGCTTAACCAACGGAGCTACCCTGGCGTCCCTGGATCCTGATTTTTAAAAAAAAAAACTATTTTATTTATTTATTTAAGAGAGAGAGAGAGTGTGCTCACATTAAGGGTGGAGGGGCAGAAGGGGGGGGAGAGGCAGAGGGAAAGAATCCCAAGCAGACTCCCCGCTGAGCACAGAGCCCCATGTGGTGCTCATGCCCATGACCCTGAGATCTCCACCTGAGCGGAAACCAAGAGTCGGAGACTCAACCAACTGTGCCAGCCACGTGGCCCTGGATCCTGATTTTTTTTTTTTTCTTAGCTGTTTAAAAGAAAAATCACATCTGTGAGACAACTAGAAATTTGAACACAGTGTATTTGATATTTAGGAACTATTTTTAAAAATTTTTAGGTATTCTGGCAGGTTTTCCACTATCCCCACTGCCGGCTTAAATAGTTGGAAATTATCTGGTAGATAATTTAGAAATGTAAACTAATTTATTAATGAATGACATGATTCACATAGCATTTTGTTATGTTTCATTATAGCTTTTCCTATGCAGATATTAATATTTATATCTATATCATAGAGATATAAAATATCTATATCTATAGATATTTATATCTATATCATAGTTGAGATCATATTTAAATCCAGTCGGTGTTGGAACAATACTTTTTAAAAGTTTAAAGTAACACATAGTGTTGAGGGACCCTGGGACAGTAATGCCACCATACTCCAAAGCAGGAAACTTTTGAGGGTAAAAGGTGGCAAGAGCTGGAAACCGGAATTGCCCTAGCCAGGTGAGGTTGCTTGCCTTAATATTTCGGTTGACTTATTAATTTTTCAGAGATTGCATCCTGACATGTTTATTTGATTTTCAGAGTGACAAAGACATACTCTGGAAATCACACTTGGGAGTAAGTTAAGCTCATGCCATCGCTGAGAAATGCTCAGTTATCTCCTGCATAAAGTTTGGACTCCCCTCCCCCATCCTGAGTTGGATGGCACCCACTGAGGCTCTGGGGCAGTGGTTTTCAATATGCTGAGGCTGGGCAACACTGGGATTTTGTTCCTCCCCACACCCACCCACCAAGGGTTATTTGGCAACGTCTGGAGACATTAGTGGTTGCACAGCTGGATCGGGGAGAGTGCTGCTGGAAGCCAGTGGGTGGAAGCCGGGGATTCCACTCGGTATCCTACAATACACGCAATAGCCTCCCTACTCCCCCAACAAAGAATTATCAGGCCCCAAAAGTCAATGCTGTCATGGTTGTGAAAACTTGATGTTGGTACCCTTGTCTTCATGAAGACAACTGTAATTGTCAACAGGTTGGCCCTCCCAGCTAGATGGACAGCTCCATGAAGACAGGCAATACATCTGTCTTGTTGGGTGTTTGGCATATAGTTGACGCTTAATAAGAATTGAAGGAAGAGGGGCGCCTGGGTGGCTCAGTCAGTTAAGCCTCTGCCTTTGGCCCAGGTCATGATCCCAGGGTCGTGGGACTGAGCACTGCATCAGGCTCCTTGCTCAGTGGGGAATCTGCTTCTCCTTCTCCCCTCCCCGTGCTTATGCTCTCTCTCTCTTGCTGTCTCTCTCTCTCTCAAATAAATTTTAAAAATCTTTTTAAAAAGGGGCGCCTGGGTGGCTCAGTGGGTTAGGCCGCTGCCTTTGGCTCAGTTTATGGTCTCAGGGTCCTGGGATCAAGCCCTGCATCTGGTTCTCTGCTCAGCAGGGATCCTGCTTCCCCCTCTCTCTCTGCCTGCTGCTCTGCCTACTTGTGATCTCTCTCTCTCTCTCTCTCTCTCTCTGTGTCAAATAAATAAATAAAATCTTTTTAAAAAAAAGGATCAAAGGAAGAAGAGGTACATCCAGATTCAAACTTAGGGCCCCTGGGGGATCATGCTGCTTGATTTATTTCTTTGTGTGCATTTACTTACAATGTTATTTTTTTTTAAGATTTTATTTGTTTGTCAGAGAGAGAGAGCAAGCACAAACACAAAGAGAGGCAGGCAGAGGGAGAAGCAGGCTCCCTGAATGAGGGACTTGATCCCACGACCCTGGTATCACGACCCAAGCGGAAGGCTTAACGAACTGAGCCACTCAGGCGTCCCTATTTACAGTGTTATGCTAGTTCCAGGTGTACAATACAGTGATTCAACAATTCCCTACATCACCTACTGCTCATCAGGACAGATAAGTGCACACCTTAATCCCCATCACCTGTTTAACCCAAACCCCCATCCACCTCCCTTCTAGTAACCATCAGTTTGTTCTCTACTGTGAAGAGCCTGTTTCTTGGTTTGCCTCTTTTTTTTCTTTGCTCTTTTGTTTTGTTTCTTAAATTACACATATGAGTGAGATCACATGGTATTTCTCGCAAGCTGCTTGTTCTCCGAATTATTTCCCATCTCCCTTTGGGCACAGTAATCAGATGATAAGCATTGCATTCTCCAACATTTAACAAATACTTACTAAGCACTTACTAAATACTGGCAGTGTTCTAGGTACTGGGAATACAGCTATGAGCAAGACAGAGAGTTCCTGCTCAAATTTTATTCTCAGAGGGGAAGACAAACAATATGCAAGGAAATAAGATGGCTTCAGACAGTGATAATTATTATGGAGAAAATAAAAGTGGGACACCTGGCTGGCTCTGTTGGTAGAGCATGCAACTCTTCTTCTTCTTTTTTTTTTTTTTTTTTAAGATTTTATTTATTTATTTGAGACAGGGAGAGAGAGCACCAGGGCGCATGAGCAGGGGGGAGCGACAGAGGGAGAGGGAGAAGCAACTCCCAGATGAGCAGGGAGCCAGATGCTAGACTCCATCCCAGGGCCCTGGGATAATGACCTGGGCCGAAGGCAGACACTTAACCGACCGAGGCACCCAGGTGCCCCAGCATGCAACTCTTGATCTTGGGGTCCTGAGTTCGAGCTTCACGCTGGGTGCAGAGATTATTTTTAAACAAAGTGTAATACAATCGGGAATGATTGTATTATAATCATTGTATTACAATCATTACAATCAGGGTGGCATATTCCAGGTTGGGCGACCAGGTGACATTGGAACTAATTTTGAGAACAAGCCATCGTGGAAAAGCTCCCGGCCAAGACTACTGCACTTGCAAAGACCCTGAGATGGAAACAATGGCCACTCAATGAAAATTTAGGGAAAGGCGCCAGCACTTATGCCATGGAAACATTTGGACTTTATTCTAACTGCAATCCGGAAGCCTGATTTGTGTTGGTAAAAGATCACGGTGAAAAAAAAAATCACGGTGGCTTCTGTGGGAGAATGTATGAAACATCTACATTCCGCGTCTGAAATACTTGTCATAAAATAATACCATTTTTCTCCGCTGTTCTTGTCAAAGAGGAAACCTCCTAGATCCAGCAGTGGGCGCCGTAGGCGCAGGGTCGACAGAATGTAACACTCAGCACTCTCTGGTTCTTTTCGAGGGGTGGGTCGCTTCCGGGAGTGGCCTCGTAGCCCGGCGCCTTCCTCTCTAGCCGCCCGTCTCTGTGGTCGCCGTGGGCCCGCCCCTTGGACTCACCGCAGCCGAGTCCGGGGCAGCGGTCCTGCGGAGGAGGGTGGAAGTTGCCCTATGGCGGTCCCGGGGACGGCGGCCAGGGCTGGCGCCAGGTGAGCAGGGCGGCTGGGGAGGCGAGCCGGGCCCCTGGGTGCCTTCCCTGGGGCTGTGTGACTTGAAGAGCCCCCGCCCCCGCGAAAGAGGAGCTCGGGAAGGGGCGCCCAGCCTCCCGCGCGATCCGAGGCAGCCCCCAGCACTCTGGCTGTGGGATACTCTCCCTTGGAACTGGCTTTTCCATCCCCCCCCCCCCCCCCACCCCGAGAACCTCCAAGTGCACAGAATTGAGTTAATCGTCCCCAGTTGGCACGCTGTGATCCAGCGCAGGGCCCCTCTTGTGCTTTACATTACTGTCTTCCTCTCTTCGTTCCTTATTCTCAACCCGTTTCTCCCCCGTTCTCAGACTGCCACCCGAGTGTACAGCCCAGTTTACATAAGTTTGCGTGTCTACCTTGAATGATAGATCGTGGTTTTTGAATTCCTATGAATGATAATATGCTGTGATTAAAAAAAAATCTTTTTACTCATCGTTGTGTTTTTGAGATCATACGTTCAGTAGTGATCTAGTTTCTGTTTCTGAGGGCTGCATGATACTACCCTATGTACTTTGGATCGCACTTACTTATACATTCCCCTGGTGATGACACCTAGATTGCTTCCAGTTTTTAACCACCACAAATATGCTGGCGCTTGTCTCCTTGTGGATATGGGTAATATTTTTCTGGATTATCCACCCCAAGGTAGGATGCTAGGTCATACCTAATTCTGCGGAATTGTTTTCTGGAAAGGTCATCTGAGTTTATACTTACCAACAGCATTGCATAAACGTTCTGGCTTCCCCACATTCCAGGAATGTTTGGTATTATTTGGTTTTCTGATGTTTTATCAGTTTGATGGGTTGTAAGGTGGCATCCCATTGTGTTTTCATGTATTAAGCATTTGGGTTTCCCCTTTTCTGAATTGCCTGTTTGTATTCTTTTCCCACTCTCCGTGGATTTCCTGTCTTCCTGACTTGCAGGAATTCCTCGTATGCTCTAGATTTTAAAGATTTTATTTATTTATTTGACAGAGTGAGATCACAAGTAGGCAGAGAGACAGAGAGGGAAGCAGGCCTCCTGCCGAGCAGAGAACCTGATGCGGGGCTCGATCCCAGTACCCTGAGATCATGACCTGAGCCAAAGGCAGAGGCTTAACCCACTGAGCCACCCAGGCACCCCTGCATTTCCTTCTATTAACTAAATAGAATTTCACATTTAGATTTTTAATCCATTTGGGTTTTTAAAATTTTATCTTTCTAAGTGATTTGAGGTAATTTTCCTTCACCATTTTCAACTAAAAACTAATGAACTAATAATTAAAAATTGGAGAGCCTGTGAAGCATCGTTAAGAGCTCAGACCCTTGGAGCTAGGCTGCCTTTGTCCAGACCCTGAGGCTGCCACTTACTAGGTGGGTAACAGGGCAAGTTACTTAACCTCTTTTGCTTCATTTCCTTATCCATAAAATAGGATATAGTCTCCATCTCTTAGGGTTGTGACAGCCAAATGAATTAATACATGTAAAACACATGTTGAACAGTACTGGGCACATAGTATGTGCTTAATAAATATTGACAACTGTTCTTATTACTGTCACCTATCCTGTGATATAACCTCTTTCAGGTCTGTTTTTTCTTTTTGGTCTCTGTTCCATTTGGTCTTTTTGTTTCTGTATTTAAACCACAGCTCTGCAATATGATTTGTCTTTTTTTTTTTGGAGAGAGAGAGAGAGAGAGAGAGAGAGAAGGGCATGTGCGCACACACCAGGTGGGGAGCAGAGGGAAAGGGAGAGAGAGAATCTTAAGCAGGCTCCAGGCTCAGCACGGACCCTGACAATGGACTCAGTCTCATGACCCTGAGATCACGACCTGAGCTGAAATCAAGAGTTGGATGCCCAACCGACTGAGCCACCCAGGTGCCCCTGATTTGTCTTACTAATGGAGGGTTTGTGTTTCCGATTCCTCCTTTCCCTTTCTTCACAGTTGCCCTCAGCTACTCATGGGCCTTTATATTTTCATATAAAGTTCCTCAAAGAAGCTCTGCTTTTTTTTTTTTAAAGATTTTATTTTTATTTATTTGAAACAGAGAGAGAGAGATCACAAGTAGGCAGAGAGGCAGGCATAGAGAAAGAGAGGAGAAAGCAGGCTCCCCGCTGAGCAGAGAGCCTGATGTGGGCCTCGATCCCAGGACCCTGAGATCATGACCTGAGCTGAAGGCAGAGGCTTAACCCACTGAGCCACCCAGGCGCCCGAAGCTCTGCTTTTTTGTTATAGACTATTTTTGTTAGAAATGAGGTCTTTATAATGTTAAGTCATGCCAGCTCTGTCAGTTTAAGTCTTCTTTTGCATCTTATAATAGAGCTTTCGTTTTTCTTCTAAAATGTCTTATCCTGGGGCGACTGGCTGGCTCAGTCAGTAGAGCTAGCAACTCTGGATCTCGGGGTTGTGAGTTCGAACCCCATCATGGGTGGAGAGAGCCTGGTGTCAGGCCCCCTGCTGTGCACGAGGAGTCAGCTTCTCCCTCTGCCCCTCCCCTCACTTGCTCTCTTGCTCTCTCTCATAAATACATAAAACCTTTAAAATATACATATATTAAATATATAGATAGATAGATTGATCGATCTCATGACCCTGAGATCATGACCTGAGCTGAAATCAAGAGTTGGAGGCTTAGCTGACTGAGCCACCCAAGGCCCCTAAAAATAAAATCTTAAAAAAAAATGTAGGGCACCTGGTTGGCTCAGTCCGTTAAGCCTCTGACCCTTGATCTCAGGATTGTGAGCTCAAGCCCCACATTAGGCTCCATGCTGGGTGTGGGGGCCTACTTAAAAAAATGTCTTGCAAATTATTTTTAAAAGTTAATTCCCGGATATTTACCATTGTTTTAATCATCTTATCTTTTTTGTATTTTCCAGTTGGTTATTGTTGATATAGAGCACTATTGATATTTGTTATGTTAACCTTATATCTGGCTGAACTCCTTTTATTTCCAGCATTTGTGTATTGATCTGCGGTTCGCTGTGTAAATGATCACATTATCTGCAAATAAAGACAATTTAATCTCTCCCCCTTTTAATTCTTTTACCTCATTTATTTTTCTTGCTTTATTGATTCAGCCAGGACCTTAAAATCCTTGATGGGCTTTCTTGTCCTGCTTGTGACCATAAAGAGGATGTGGCTAAAGTTTCTTCATTAACTATGTTTCTTTGCTGTCAGTTTTTGGTAAATGACCTTTTATAGCATTTCCCAGTTTAGAGAAATTCCCTTCTCCCCCTGGTCTGTTCCAGGCCTACCGCCTTCAGCATCGAGAGGCCATGCATCCCGCACGGGCTGGACCCCTCCCCAGAACGATGTAGGTCAACCTGCTAACTGCTCGCTAAGGCTTCCCTGCCCTCATAGGGCTCGCTCAGCTTCTCCCGCATCTCTTCTTCAGGCCCAGGTTAGATCTGCAGTTTCTCCAGCGGTTCCTACAAATACAGAAGGTTTTGTTTCCCTCCTGGTCATCACAGAATGCCTTGATGTTCCTGACCCTGTTGTGCGTCACCCTACTGAGTGAGTGAGCCCAGGCTACCGGGGTAGGGCAGCCCTGGTTCGGGGTCCCTTCTCTCTGGGGAGTTGATAAGGCGAGGACTCAAGGGGAAGCCTCTCTCTTCATTTTCTCCCCCTTCATCACTGACTTCGAACCCCTCTCCCCACCGTAGAACAATTGGTGATCTACCAGGTCGGCTTGATCCCCAGTCAGTACTATGGGGTCCTGGGAAACAAAGACTTGAATGGGTTTAAGAGCCTGACATTCCTGGCTGTGGTGCTCATCGTTCTCAACTCCATGGTAAGGTCTTCTCCCTGCGTTTGTCTTCCTCTCCAGCCTGGCATGAGCACGATGCCGACTGGGACTTAGCCACCAGGAAGCAGGAATCAGGCTGTGGGGCGTGTTCCCTCCTTTTCTGGGAACTAAAGGTCAAAACCCTGTGCAGGGCATTGATCTTGCTGTTGGGCCCAATTCCTGGGATGTTTCAAGCTCCCAGGACTAGGCCATGACGTTCTGGTCAGCATTTAGCAGAAATGACCTTGTCCCTTCCAATCCCATTATTCTTGCTTCAGGGAACTCCGAGCATTTGAAAACTAGGATCAGCAGCCAGGGGGCTATTGCTTTTCTGTGGGGCTGAGACCATGGTTCAGCCTGGCGCTGTGTTGTACCTCCCAGCCTCGGCACCCGCTGCTTTCCTGCAAGATGGCCTCCGTCCCCACCCTCATTCACGCGGTTAATGTCTGCTCGCTTTTCCAGGTTCTGCTGTTGTCACCTCCTTCCAGTCCTCCTTAACCTTCTTCCTGTTTCCTCCACCTGCCCTCTTCTCTGCTTCGCTGATACTTGGAGTTAGCCCCTGCTGTAACACTCCTCACACCCTGTAATTGTTTCCTTGCTAGACTGAGCTCATTGTCATTGCCTCGGACTTAGCATGTAGGCGCTCCGTCAGTGCTGAACAATGAGTCAGGTCTCCGCTTGGACTCTAGCCTGATGCTCTGTCTGCCTGTGCCGCCTGTTTTCTCGGGGAAGCCCCTTCTCATCACACTTAGACAGTCTGGATGGGTCTTCTGGCAGTGAAACCCCTATGTATACAGAGCTTCCTTCCAAGTTTTGGGGAAAAGAAAAGTGAGAACATAGATGGCATAGAAGATATCATCCCCGGGGCGCCTGGGTGGCTCAGTGGGTTAAGCCTCTGCCTTCGGCTCAGGTCATGATTTCAGGGGCCTGGGATCGAGCCCCGCATCGGGCTCTCTGCTCAGCGGGGAGCCTGCTTCTCTTCCTCTCTCTCTGCCTGCCTCTCTGCCTACTTGTGATCTCTGTCTGTCAAATAAATAAATAAAATCTTTAAAAGAAAAATTAAGATATCATCCCCAATTTCCGGAAGCTCATCGGCTCTCAGGATAAGACCGTACAATAGAAAGGGGCCGGAGGCTTGTGCTTGGTGAAGGAATGAGCATGGGAGGGAGGGGGGAGGGGAGCATCCCCTGACTTGACACTTTAACACAGCAGAAGCGCTGAGTGGACAGAGAGTAATCGGGATGGGCTGGGGCCAGTCAGCAGACGCTCTCTTAGCTAGCCCAGCTCCTCACTGAGACGAGCAGAAGCCATGCCTCCCGCTCTCTCACTGCCTCTCGCTTCCCTCACTGTGCAGCTGAAGAGCTTTGACCAGTTCACCTGCAACCTGCTGTACGTGAGCTGGAGGAAGGACCTCACCGAGCACCTTCACCGCTTCTACTTCCGAGGCCGCGTGTACTACACCCTCAATGTGCTGCGGGACGACATCGATAACCCGTAGGCGCCCCTCTCCGTCCTCCCTACGCTCTGCAGGCTTCTGTGGGTCTGGTTCGGCCTTGGAGACTCCCTGCTGCAGGCCCCTTGAGGTCATCCCCAGGCCTCTGCAAATGTGGATAAGCACCACAGGGGATGATCTCAAGGGGCCTGCAGCCCCATGGAGGCACCTCTGAGCAGCTGCAGGGCTGAGAATAGGGAACTAAAAGATAGGAGCGGCTCCCTTTTGTCCCTTTTATATCCTGTGCTTCCCAACCTCTGCTGCGGGTTTCTGTCCAAAGAAAGTGTCCTTGCTAGCAAACCAGCCCTTGGATTTTCAGCAGTGCAGAGTGATTGCTGCCCGGGGCTCAGTGTAAGACTCAGACCTTCATTCTTTCACCTCCCGGTTGATAGGCCTCCGTTCACGGAGCCTCAGTTTCCCTTTCTGGAAAATGGGGATGATAGTTCCTATCTCAAGAATACCTCAAAGGATATTCACGCAGTGCAGCTGCGCGGCGCCTGGCATGTGGCAAGTGTCCCAGTGTCAGCGCTGGTTAGTTTACAGGCGAGGAAACCGAGGGCCAGAAGATGCCAGTGACTTGTCCAAGGTCATGACTCTCATTGGAAATGGGAGTCCGTGTGGCCCCCGTGGTGCACTGGGTTTCTCTCCTCACAGACATTCCCTCTCCACTCACCACCCCAGTCCCTTTCTTGCCTGGCATGACCTTTCGTCAGCTTCAGCTGAGCTTTGCAGCAAAGATGCTTGGGATTCCTGTTGCCTCTTATCTTTCTCTTCTGGGCTCCTCCATGACTCAACCCCTGTGAAGCTTCTGCAGCCAGATAGCTAAAATGGGGGCAGACTCGGGCCCGCAGAAGAGATTGGGAGGAGCTGGAGAGAGGGGATGGCTTTCCTGCTCATCTAGAAACTCTGCTCTTTAACTCCGGTCTTTCTCGGTGCTACTCAGAACAGGCTTGGGACCCCTGGGTACTGGCCCTTTCATTTGCTACTTTTCCTGAGGGGTAAACTGAGGCGCCCCAAGAAACAACTCTTCGGAACCCTGTTTAAAGCTCCTAAGGGCCTTAGTGCCTCTAGGAAAACCAGTGCTTGTCTGAGTCCATCTCCCCCTGGGGTCGTGGCTAACAGCGCCGAAAGGCAAGGTCAGAGTAAGAGGTAACCTCTCCGCTCTCGCCGCCCTCTGCCCTGCTGCCCGGTCCAGTTGCTCTGTGTTGTCGGCTGCAGGGACCAGCGCATCAGCCAGGACGTGGAACGGTTCTGCCGGCAGCTCAGCAGCATGGCCAGCAAGCTCATCATCTCCCCCTTCACCCTCATCTACTACACCTACCAGTGCTTCCAAAGGTGAAGCCTCTCCCCTCTGCCCTCCACCACCCCGACCAGATGTTTCCCCCCCCACCCCGCCCCAGGTCTCTCACCCGCCCACTCACCTCCCCCAGGTCAGGGTCCAGAAGAGGCTGGTCTCTCCTCCCACCTGCAGCCTAGGAAGGCTTCCTCTGTCCTGTGCTCAGTCCCCTCCCCTCCCTTTGGACATGGGGCATTTCTGGGACCCTGACAACCTAGACCAGGTGCCAGCTGCCCCCACACAGGAGCAGAGGTCCCACAGGACTGCTGGCTGAAATTGGACGAGGGCTGCTTGAAAGTGAACAGGAATCGGCGCTGAGGCCTGTGACAATGTGTGACACCCCCATGCTCCCCTCTCTGCCTTCCAGCACGGGCTGGCTCGGGCCTGTGAGCATCTTCGGGTATTTCATCCTGGGAACCCTGGTGAACAAAATGTTGATGGGGCCCATCGTGGCACAGCTGGTGCAGCAGGAGAAGCTGGAGGGGGATTTTAGGTATGTTCCCCTTGCTTGAGGTTTCTGGGTTGAGCATCATGGTTAAGGAATGAGGGTCTGGAGTAAGATTGCCTCATTCGAATCCCAGCCTGTGCTAGTCACGAGGCATGTGCTCTTGGGTGAGATCTTGAACCTCACTAACTTTAGTTTACCCGTCTTTGAAATGGGGATTGTACTGTTGTCCACAGAGGGGATTGGGAGGAGCATTATTGAGATTCTAGGTGAGAAGCACCGAGAACCGTGTCTGGTTGGCCATTATCGTCCCTTGGCCTTCTCCTGTGCTTCTGTTCCAACCTCCCTGTCGTGGCTCAGCCAGTAGATCCAGCGTCTGCGCTGTGCTTCTTGGCCTCCTGCTTCAGGTTGGGACCTGGGAGGAGGTGGTGTGGGCAGGAATGCACCTGTCCTCGGGGGAGGTGAGGGGTTCCCCTGTCTGCACGGCTCCTGCCACCCCACCCAGGCCCCGGGATTCCAGCCCTGCGACAGCTCGGGGAAGGGCTGGGCCTTTTCGAGGTGGAGCCAGGTCTGGAGGTCTTGGTCCAGGCCTCCGAAAGGAGAGGGGCCAGCACCGCCCGTCGTCAGCACACGTTTCCCTTTGGCCTGCCCAGGTTCAAGCACATGCAGATCCGGGTGAATGCTGAGCCTGCTGCTTTTTTCAGGTGAGTCGGGTTTCCTTCTGCCGCATCGGAGCTGATAGTGGAGATGACAGAAAAGGAAGGACCAGTTGTCTGGCCCTCCCACCGTCACAGAGCCGTGGGGCTGAGCACCCTTACACTGGGCTGTGACCCCCACCTCGTGTCTCTCCCTGTCCTTGTCTGCCTCATCCTTAGATCCAGGGATTTGCTTCTGAAGCTGCTTATTCCTTCTAGTGGCCCAGGAGGGGGTGTAAATTTGTTCCAAGAATGAAACGAGTGGATGCTTCCTGTCTTGGTGATGACTATAAGGCATTGCCTCTGCCTCACTTTTCCTTCTGTAAAACGGCTTCCTGCCAGTGCCTGATGGCCGATCAGAGTCTCAAAGACTGATCCTTTGTCTCTGCAGGATGGGAGGGAAAGGAGGCCTCAGGAGATCAGGAGACTCGCTCCCCACAAACGCTATCCAAGTAGAACGAAGTATCTGATTTAACAGCAGCGTTGTGAAATCTCATTCCTTCCCTCAGGGTCAGGGTAGGTCCCTGGGCCCTGCCTTCTGTGAGGCCTCTGGAGTCATCGTTAGGCCCCAGAGAGAGAACTCAGGCCCCAGAGGTGTGTGTTGAAGGAGTGGAAGCGGCTCTTGGATCACCTGGAGCTAATAGCCCCCGACCTTTGCCCTTGTCTGTCTTTGCTGCAGTTTGCAGCTGCCGCCACTTGGGGGCGCCAAGCATACTAGGACTCTGAGGTGGGCTTTGGTTGTGTGGCCGTAGGGCTGGGGCTGTGCCGAGTGCTTTTGGATTTTTGCAGTCTCTCATGAAGTTCTGGGCTCTGGGGCAGGCAGGTTGCTTCTTGGAGTCTAGATGGGTTCTTCTGTGGCTTCTCTGTCCCTCTGACACTTTCCAGGTGTCAGGTTCTGAATGCAATGTGTCTGCCTGCCCCCCAACCTGGGAGCTCAGGGACAGGGACTGTTTCATCCCCTTGTTTATCTCACTGGCTAACCAGCACAGAGCCTGCCACCGAGCAACTGCTCCTTGTGTAGTTGCTGAGTAACAACAGCTGTTACTTACTAAGGGCCCCTCTTCTGTCTGGAACTTTCTATTTAGAAATTCTCTAACTGGGGCACCTGGGTGGCTCAGAGGGTTAAAGCCTCTGCCTTCAGCTCAGGTCATGATCCCAGAGTCCTGGGATCGAGCCCCGCATCGGGCTCTCTGCTCAGCGGGGAGCCTGCTTCCTCCTTTCTGCCTGCCTCTCTGCCTATGTGTGATCTCTGTCAAATAAATCAATAAAATCTTAAAAAAAAAAATTCTCTAACTTATTTTGTAGGTATGATTAGCCCCATTTTACAGAACAAGACACTGAGACTCCGAGGCTTAAGGCACTAATCAGTGTCACCCAGCTGGCACTTGGCCAGAGCCTGGGTTTGAGCCAGGCCTACCCAGTCTAGAGTTCATGTTCTTTCCCCAGACAACACTGTGCTGAGGAAGTAAAGCAGTGAATGGAGGCCCGTGGCAGAAAGGGTCTGAGATGAAGACCACTGGGATGGTCTTGGTCCCCAGAGGAGAGTGTGGTGAGGGCCGGAGGGTCTCCCCGAGCCTGGATGAGGCTTTGCGGGCCCCATCGACATCCCAGCCTTCCTTGTCAGGGCTGGGCATGTGGAGCACATGAGGACAGACCGCAGGCTGCAGAGACTCCTTCAGACCCAGCGGGAGCTGATGTCCAAGGAGCTCTGGCTGTACAGTAGGTGGACGGAGCCCGGGGAGGCAGGAACCTCAGGAGCGGGATAGTCTTCCCTTCCCCTGCTTTCTCTCTGCACTAATCAGTTTGCTGGCATGAAGGAATCAACCACGGGGAGCCACTGCCTTTGCCAGGAGTGTCCTCGGGAGAACGAGGCCCCAGGGACTAGCTTGGTCCTGTCTGGCGGCGTCTTCCCTCAGAGCCATCAGTGGTTCCCGGGTCTCTAACCTCGGTGTTTTTGTCGCCTGCAGTCGGCGTCAACACCTTCGACTATCTGGGCAGCATCCTGAGTTACGTTGTGATTGCCATCCCTATTTTCAGTGGTGTCTACGGAGACCTGAGCCCCACAGAGCTCAGCACTCTGGTCAGCAAGGTGAGGCTCCCTCCCGGGGACCCCTCACGCGGTCCCCTCTGTCCGGGGCCTCGGCATCCAGGCCGGCGCTCATGGCTCGCTGTGCTGTGCAGAACGCCTTCGTGTGCATTTACCTCATCAGCTGCTTCAGTGGCCTCATCGACCTCTCCAGCACGCTCTCTGATGTGGCTGGTTACACACACAGGTGAGGCTGCGTCCTGAGCGGAGCGGGCGCTCCTGGGAGGAGGAGCTGAATGAGAGAAGGGACAGAAAAGCCACGGGCCAGTGGATGTGAGGGAAGGAAGACCGCATTCCCCAGGGCCCCCAGACCCACCTTGGGTTTTCACTTCTTGCCCAGGATTGGGGAGCTTCAGGAGACCCTGCTGGACATGTCCCTGAGGTCGCGGGCCGGCGAGATCCCGGACGAGAGCGAGTGGGACACGGACAGGTGAGCGCCGGGCGGGCAGGGCGGTGCCATGGTGCGTGTGCCCAGCTTGGCTTCGGCCTGAAGCCCTGCCCTTCCCTGGCTGGGCGGCGGAGCCCATGCCGTGCCTGGTGTCAGGCACGCTGCAGGTGTCTGCAGGCAGTGGGGCTGTTCTGGCATCTGTTAGGGTCATTTACGCCTTCCTCCGGCTGCTGGAAGCCCGGTGCACACTCCCACCTGGGCACGAGATGACAAAACAAATCTGAGTGGTCTCCCTCCCACTGAGCCCTGCCGCCTGCCCCTTTCCTCGGGGCCTGCCTGTTCTCTCTTCCCCAGGCCTCTCTCACCTCCACATGTGTCTTTACTTGTGTCTCCTTTATTTTTTTTTTTTTAAGATTATATTTATTTATTTATTTGATTGAGAGCGAGAGAGAGAACATGAGTGGAGGGGAGTGGCAGAGGCAGAGGGAGAAGCAGGCTTGCTGGGCAGGGAGCCCGATGCAGGGCTCGATCCCAGGACCCTGAGACCATGACCTGAGCCGAAGGCAGACACTCAACTGACTGAGCCACCCAGACGCCCCTTTACTTGTGCCTCCTTGATGCGTTGTGAGGTTTCTGACCTTTCTGGGCACTGAAGATTGTTTCATGTCCTCGCTCTCTTGCTCACTAATTACTCAGCTGTTCTGTGTCTCAGTTTCTTCATCTCTGTGAGGGGAACAGTAATGGAACCTTCCTCTCAGGGTAGTTGTGAGGCTTGACTGTCACGGTCCCTGGAAAGTGCTTAGACAGTGGCCACTGAGTAAGCTTTCAAAAATGGAAACAGTCTGAGTTCCGGGGCCTACACGCAACTGCCTTCTGAGCGACTAAAGTCTGAACTCTTGCCCCCGTTTAGAATTCAGCCTTCATGTGGCCCTGGGCCTGGGGCTGGGGAGGGCGCAGTGACACCGGAGGTGCTGTTCTCCGGGGGAGAGGGGCGTCTGTGCAGAGCCAGAAACTCCAGGTCCCTTTACGACCACCACGCCTGTCCTGTCCTAGCCGCTGGTCACACGCGCTGTGCATACCCCCCAGGATTAAAGCTAGAGTTTCAGCTCCGTGACCCCGAGTGAGTTACTTAGCCGCCTGACTTGGTTTCTTCATCTGCCAAGTGGGGATGTTGTTTGTGATCCATGGGTGTTAAAGCAGATTAAGATCAGTCGCGGCGGGGCTTTGCGCAGCCTGGCACAGACTAGGCGCCCTCAGCCCTCCGTGTTCGTGTGCCCAGGCTGCTGTAACAAGATTCCCCAGGCCTGGTGGCTCACACAAGACATTTATTTTCTCACAGTTCTGGAGGCTCGAAGTCCAAGATCAAGGTGCTGGTCGGTTTGGTTTCTCCTGAGGCCTCTCTTCTTGGCTTGCAGATGGCCGTCTTCCTGCTGTGTCCTTTTCTGGCACTTTCTCTGTGCACTAGCATGCCTGGTGTGTCTCTTCTTAGAAGGCCATCAGCTATATTGGGCTAGAGCCCTACCCTGATGGCCTCACTTTAACATAATCATTTCTTTAATACCTTCTCTTTAACTGCAGTTACCTTCTGGGGTACCGGGGGTTGAGACTTCAGCCTGTGATTTTTGAGAACAGTTTAGCCCATAACAACTCCTCTGTCCAGAGGTGAGGCCCCCCAAGGAGAAGACCCTGCCCCCTGCAGGACTGACACTACTACTCTCCCCTTGTCTTCTGACCGCAGGGCTCCAGAGTGGCCAGTTGCAGAGCCAGCGGACACAGCTTTTCTCCTTGAGCGGGTCTCCATCTGCGCCCCGGCCTCTAACAAGCCCTTAATTAAGGATCTGAGCCTGAAGATCTCCGAGGGGCAGAGCCTGCTCATCACGGGCAACACGGGCACGGGCAAGACCTCCTTGCTCCGGGTTCTGGGCGGCCTCTGGGCAAGCACACGGGGTGAGAGCCAGCCTTGACCTGGTGGGATGCGGGTGTATGTGTGTGCGTGCGTGTGTATAAACCTTCCAGGCCCTTTTTTTTTTTTTTTTTTTTTTTTAAAGATTTTATTTATTTGACAGAGACAGGAAGAGCGGGAACACAAGCAGGGGGAGTAGGAGAGGGAGAAGCAGGCTTCTCGCTGAGCAGGGAGCCCGGTGTGGGGCTCGATCCCGGGACCCTGGGACTGTGACCTGAGCTGAAGACAGATGCTTAACAACTGAGCCACCCAGGCACCCCAAAATCCAGGCCTTTTTGTTGGGGAAAGGAAATGAGAGACAGTTACTTTCTCTGGGAGATCTCAGAGTGGAGGTTTCTGTGGGTTCTGCAGGCTCGGTGCAGATGCTGACGGACTTCGGACCCCATGGGGTGCTGTTCCTGCCACAAAAGCCATTCTTCACTGATGGGACCCTTCGGGAGCAGGTCAGCCTGGGGCCGCTTCTGTCTCTACCCTAATGGAGATCTCGGGCAGTGTGACAGGTCTCCGCTGTTAGAAAGTTATAGGGCAGTGAACGGCTCCTGCCCAGGAACTCCCTGGTTCTAAAAACGCTTTATTTCTCTCCGAGGATTGGGCCCCCATAGTAGGGCAGCTCCTGGGGGCAGGTTAGCCTGTGGGGGCCAAAACCAAATATCACATACATTTGTTGCCCCCAGGCTGGATTCTGGAGGCCTTGGCCTTAGGAAGCTCACAGACTCTTTCCCCTGAGACCCAGATCTGAAGGTTGCAGTGACCCTGCCCCGCTCTCTGCTGGCCCAGACTCCCCCACTGGCCCTTGGCCTGGGTGTCCCTCCCCGTCCTCAGGTGGAGAGGTGCCTGGCCCCTGGCAGTTCCTGAGGCTGTTGCCAGGGGAGGATAGGCTATATACAGCACCACCTCTCATGGGCCCTCATCTTAGACCTGTGTGGTTTTGTTTTATCAGGTGATCTACCCGCTGAAGGAAATCTACCCAGACTCAGGTGAGCTGGCCCTCCTTGGGTGCGTCCTCCCATCTAAATCATCCGTCCTCTGCCAGCTGGGGCCTCGCCGATGCCTTTTGGCAGAGGCTCCAGCAAGGCTGCTGCTTTCAGGTTGTTTTCTTCTCCTCCTTCAAGTGTTTACTATTTGGGGGGCTGTTCCCTGACCTCGTCTTGTTCTGTCTTCACCTCCTTGAGGAGAGACCCACATTGGAGGAAGGGAAGGGACTGCTCCTTCGCCTGGCCCTTCCCTTATGTATTAGGGGCTGTAACCCTCACCCCGCGCAACCTTAGTCCAGGTTCTGGTGCCCCACCCCTGCCCCCTTCCGTGATGTACCCCGTCTCTTCTGGCTGCCCAGAGGGAGCTGACTTCTTGAAGAAGCTTCTCTTTTTGGTAGGTTCTACTGATGATGAGCGGATCCTGAGGTTCTTGGGGTTGGCAGGCCTGGTGAGTGCGGGCAGGGACCCCAGGACCCAGGCCCCCCTGGTAGCACTGACCACAAGGGCTGGTCCAGCAGAGCCGGCGCAGTGCCCAGGACCCAGGACTGGCAGTTTGAGCCTGGACCGTGGGAGTGGGAGTAGAAAGTGGTGATGGGAGCCGTTGGCCAGGGACAGGCAACGGGGGGTGTGTTGTCTATATTGAGTTTTATTATTTATTTATTTATTAAAAGATTTTATTTATTTGACAGAGAAACAGGGGGAGAGCGAACACAAGCAAGGGGAGTGGGAAAGGGAGAAGCAGGCTTCCCACTGAGTAGGGAGCCCAATGCGGGACTTGATCCCAGGACCCTGGGATCATGACCTAAGCCAAAGGCAGACGCTTAATGACTGAGCCACCGAGGCGCCCCTGTATTGAGCTTTAAAATGGTAATAAAATGAAGTCTGCTTTCTCTTGTCATCCCGCTCCAGCAGATGTAGACAGTGTAGTTGATGGGATCGTCCTCTCCGCTGGGGGGCTGCTTGCTCCCACAGCCCCTGCCACGGCATGTGCGCCACAGGGCCCTCGCTGTCTCAGAGGCGTGTGTGGTGGGATGACGGAGCAGGGGTGGGCCCTCTCACGGACCGCATTCCCTCTGGGTGTGTTACAGTCCAGTCTGGTGACAAGGACAGAGGGTCTGGACCAGCAGGTCGATTGGAACTGGTAAGAAGGGAGTCGGGGTGCTCCAGAGCCCAGCTCCCCCAAACACAGTGGGTTCTGGGTATTTGCTGGCCCGTCAGGGGCACGTTCACGCCCTCGGGAGCAGTGTTTTGGCCTCATCTCCCACGGGCGGTGGGGCTGGACTGTGGTTGAAAGGAGAGGGAGATGTCCGTCTGTCCCGGGGCCAGCCTCTGTGCCCAAGAACCTCTTCTTGCTTAGACCCATTCTGTGCAAAAGCCAGGCCCATCCTTCTTCCTCTGGGGGTCCTCTCCTTCCTGTTCCTCAGGTACGACGTTCTGTCCCCGGGAGAGATGCAGAGGCTCTCCTTTGCCCGGCTCTTCTACCTACAGCCCAAGTATGCAGGTGAGGTGTGCCCCCTTAAATGCGCACACTCAGTATTGTGTGCTTGTGTATGTGTGTGTGTGTGTGTGTGTGACTACCAGGGCATTCGGACGTGTTGGAGAGCACCCCTGTGCATGGCCAGCCACCTCTGTCCCTGCATGGGAGGGTGGCAGGGCTCTGCCCCTGTGGCGGCAAGGTTGGTGTCCCCAGAGCAGCTGTGGACATGTCACACCACCAGTTCTCGAGCATTCTGCCATGGCAGCAGCTGGAGCCAGCCTGGAAAGCTTGTGCTCTTAAATGCTCCTCAGCGTCTGCCGGTAATAAATGGGCAGCACCCCCGGCTGTGCCTGGCAGAGGAGTGACAGGTGTGAACTTCTTCAGGGGCTGATGTCCTTGTCCTTGGGGGAGCTGAGAAGTGTTGGCCTTCGAGGTTCTAGGCTATGCCGGCACGGACTCTGGGAAGCTGGGGGATTTCGTCCCGCCACTGGAAAGTGGATGGGGCCTCGCCCTCTGCTCTTCTGCCCCACTCTCTTCCCGTGCCAGGGCTCCTGGAAGCCAGAGCAGCTTTCAGCCAGCCTCGCCCTGGGTCCCAGTGGAGGTGAGCGGGTTGGGAGAAGCAGAGATGGGCCAGGGCCAGAAGCTGATCTCTTCCTGCCGGATTCTGCCCTCAGTGCTTGATGAAGCCACCAGTGCCCTGACCGAGGAGGTGGAGGGCGAGCTCTACCGCATCGGCCAGCAGCTGGGCATGACGTTCATCAGTGTGGGGCATCGACGTAGCCTCGAGAAGGTACCCAAGCTCCTGGAGGTGGCCTGAGGAGGAGGAAGAGCCCAAAGGCCCCTAGCCAGGGCCTGGGGCCCTTCAAAATGGGGAGCGGGGGTGTAGAGAGGGCAGGGGAGGGACCGCCTTCTGTTGTGTGGCCGGCACAGCCTCATCTGCGTCTGTGCTGGCCTCTTGCAGTTTCACTCCTTGGTCCTGAAACTCTGTGGAGAAGGAAGATGGGAACTGACCAGAATCAAGGCGGAGTGAAGCCAAGGATGTGGCTGGCCATGGGAAGAAGTGCCCAGCGCGGGGCCGATGGGCATTCTCCCAGAGAGACTGGGGGGCTTGCGGGGCAGGGGAGACCCCTGGCTCACCTCCCAGGCCCCGTGTGGGGAGCTTTGGGAGAAGGGCCTGGCCGGGGTGTGGCTCTCTGTGGGTGCTCTGTCCTGCCAGGGCGCCTCCTGCTGCCTCAGCCAGAGCTCCCAGCACTTGGAGAGCTGATTGCTTACAAACGACCTCAGATTGTGTTTTCTAAACAAAAACCTGAAATGTGGGATCTATGAGAAATGTAGGGTCATTGTGGAAAGAATATTGGGCTTAAAGTCAAGAGATCCAGAAATTGTTTAAATCCTTTAATTTTTGTACAAGATTTTTTTTTTAACTTTAATCAACTATTTAAATTTTATAACTTTTTGTAAAAAAATAAACATTTCTTACAAATTGTAGCTTTCTCCCTTTTTCTTTTCCACTGTAAGGTGACCTTTTAAATTGAATCTGCAGACTTTTATTTGGGAGCCTGAGGGGAAGGGAGATGCACTCTCCACTGTACTGGAACATTCTACGCCTGGTTTTTTACTTCACTCCACACCTGTAGTTTCCCTTTGCCGGTTGTACCTGAGTCACTAACCTCTAGGGCCCTTCTGTTTTTCTTGTCCTAACCCAGGTAAAAATAAAAATAAATCTCTTTCCCATCAGTCAACTAAAATAAGGTCAGAGTTCCTTCAAAAATAATCTTTGTGAGGAAACAGCAACAACCAGAGGGAACAGACAAAACCCAGAAAGCACAAAAACTTGAGATGGAAAACGACCGAGCCCGAAGCCCTTATTCTAGAACAATGGTGCTCAGATTTGAGTTGTCAGGATAGCGCGCTCATGATTTTTGCCAGATCTCTGTACTTCTTATACTGTGAAATACCTTTTTTTTTTTTTTTTTAAGATTTTGTTTATTTATTTGACAGAGTGAGAGAACACAAGCAGAGGGAGAAACAGACTAGCCTGACATAGGGTTTGGTCCCAGGACCCTGGGATCATGACCTGAGCTGAAGGCAGACGCTTAACCATCTGAGCCACCCAGGTGCCCCTAGCTAGTATTTTTAAAATTAACTCACTCTTTAAACCTAATTGATTTTTTTAAAGTTACTTGATATAAATAGAATGTAACTGTAAAAATGAACCATGTTCATAACCATGTTATGAAATTGCAGTTTGGTACTATGCCTGGAGAGTCTGAGCCTGAGACTTTGCTCTCTGTACAAAGGGAGGTTAAGGGATGTCCCAGGGAGAGTTAGCCATACCGGCACCCAAGTAAGAACTTTCTCCTTAATAAAGTTAGACACCTGGAATGGGAACTGCTGGGGAAATCACTTCCTCATTCTAAGACTTGAGGTTATTCACTGCCTTGCGGGTCCCGCTGAACATGCCAGATGTGGGGTGGGAACCGCAGAAAGGGAAACTGTCTACACAGCGGGCGCCTCCCCTGCCGGCTTGGCTGCCCCGAAACCCTGGAGTCCTCAGTTCCACCGTGTCGGGGCGCTAGCACGGTGCATCCGGGTGCCTCGCTGAGAGAGCTCAGGTGGCCACCTGACTAGGTCTGATGGCAGGGCCCGTCGCTGGTGAAGCTTCCTGAGGGTCCTGCAGGACATCAGGTCCACAAAGGCCTTTGGCAGCCCTGCAGCCAGTGTCCAGCTCTCTCACAGCGCTGGGAGGGCCATCAAGGTTGGCATCTGCTCCAGGAGCCCTCCCATCCTTGAATCTCCCAACCGCATCCTGCCAAGCGTCTTCTGGCCTCCAGTCAAACACATCTAGCCCTGCGACCACCCAGCCTCGGACCCCTCTAACTGAAGAAAGCTCTTTTTCAGGTTAAGGGGACCCTGTCTCCCTGAGGACTAAGGATACCCCAGACTCCCACCCCTTGGGTGTGTGTCTGTTATGTTGCGGGGGCAGGGTGTGGACAGACCCCCCCCAACAGTATAATTTCTGTACTTTTTTTCAATATAGGAAGCTCCCTACGGCCTTTCTGTTGACAGCATCGCCTTACGGACCTGCTTCCTCCTCACTAGACCCTCGAGCTCCCAAGCCTTCCTGCAGAGGCTGCTGCCAGCAGATGACTCGAGAGAGCGAGTTGGTGCCTAACTCCGGGTCTTGGTATTTGCTTTTCCTCCGCCTCAGACATGTTTCGAGTGCTGTTCCTGTTCTGAGCGCCCAGGGCTCTCCCTTGTAGAAGCTCTGGCAGGAGAAAGCTGTTCTTAAGGGCAGACCCCGCCTTTGCCCATCACTCATCTCAGAGATGGAGGCTACTGAGAGTTTTGGATGAATCCGTACACACCTGCATAGAAGTCTGATTATGTGTCCTCAGTATGGAACAAGGGCAAAATGTTTATTTTACATGTTTTCAGGGACACCTGGGTGGCTCAGTGGGTTAAGCCTCTGCCTTCGGCTCAGGTCATGATCTCAGGGTCCTGGGATGGAGCCCCACATTGGGCTCTCTGCTCAGCGGGGAGCCTGCTTCCCCCTCTCTCTCTGCCTGCTGTTCTGCTTACTTGTGATCTCTCTCTCTGTCAAATAAATAAAATCTTTAAAAAAAATAAATGTTTTCAAATCAACCAGGCAAATAATTTTCCATCTCATTCTACCAATCAGGAAACTACACAGACACAGTCGATGGTATACAGAAATGTTAGTCACCTTTGTCACCCTTCTGAGGAGTCCTAGGGATGTGGGACACAGAGCAAAATGGTCTTCTGTCATCCCCATCACATGTCTGCTTACCATAGCGATACTACCTACTGTGATCTGCAATTTAAATGCAATCCCTATCAAAATCCCATTGGCCTATTTCTGCAGAAATGAGAAAGTTGATCCCAAAATTCATATAGAACTGCAAGTGATCTCAAATAGGCAAAACAATTTTGAAAAAGAACCAAGTTGGAGGACTCACACTTGGAAGTTTCAAAAATTACTTCAAAGATATGGTAATCAAAACATGGCAGTGTTCACATAAGGGAGAGTGTTTCTTTAGGACGTTAGAGTGTTCAAAAGTGACCTCCTATACAAGGGAATTTAGAAAGCCGCATGCATGGCCTGGACAGGATGCACGCTCATCAAAGACCCGAGAAGATCCTGAGCTTTCTTTTCTGGCTGGCCTCTCGGCTCAGTCCAAGCTGGAAGTAAAGGCTAAGACAGAGTTGAAAGAGGTAAGCTGGCTCAGTGTTAGAGTCCCCGCACGGAGTCAGTCTGGAAAGCTGGGGAGAGATGGAGGTTTTGTTTGTTCAAGGTCCTGGTATTCAAGGAAATCTCTGCCAAAATACTGACTGAACAGGGACTTCAAGTGACCACATGTGATAAGGATGACAGTCCTTGCAAAACTAGTTTGAAAAAGTGACCAAAAAGATGTCTGCAGCCTTCAGTAATAAAAAACAGCAAACCCTGGGGAAGGGGAGGAACTGGTTTCTAGTTACTATATTATATTCGAATGTCCAGTTTTCAACAAAAGCAAATCATAAAAAGAAACAGGATTCTGGTCCATTCAAAGGACGTGACTGGTGGGGGGGCGGGTGGGTGGCAGTGACAGAAACCATCTGTGAGGAAGTCTGTATACTCTTACTAGACAAAGCTTTAAACCAACGGTCTTGAGTATGCTCTGATGGTCAAAGGAAACCTGAGAGCTTGTTCTGGCTCTGGCCCTGGTGCTGAAGCCAACAGCTCCGTCTGCACCTAGCCCTGACTAGGGCTGGATCTGGTGTTGGAGCTGCTTCCAGCTCGAGATGGTATTGGCTCTAGGTTTGTAACTGGTGCTAACGCTGGTCCAGGAGTGGGCTGTATCCCCAAACCTTGCTCTAGCCAGACAACTGACTCAAGCTCTGGCCCTCATGGTAGAGCTGGGGCTGGAGCCGGGGCTCACTCTCTCTGGGCAGTGGCTCTCTTACTGGCTCTAGCTCTGGAGCTGGTACTGGTGCTGGTTCTGGCTCTCCAGTCCGCTCTCACTGGAGGTCAACAGTTTGACACAGGGCCAAAGGCATCTCTAGCTCTGGATCTGGGGTTACAGCTGGCACTGGAGCTGGTTCTGGAAAAGGTGGACATGACATTCCAGGTCCAAGCCAGGCAGGTTGCCATGTACAAAGGCCACCGGCTGCTTCTGGCAGGGCAAGTCTGGAGGCTGGCAGGAATCCTCCAGATACTGGTCCAGCAGCCAGGAGTGCAGGAGGGCAGGGAGGGCACTGAGGATAGGAAGGCCAGCAGCAGAGTCAGAACCCTGGCCTTTGCCCCCCACACTGCCTCCTATGGCACCTCTGCAGGGGGCTCTGCTCCTCTACCTGGCCTTGCGCATCCAGACACCAGACGCATCCCAAACCCACCCTGGCTTCCTGCCAGAATCAGGCCCGGTCCTCAAGCAGGGGACTCAGTCATAGGGTGCTCTCGATAAGTGTCCAACCAAACACCCGCCTTCTTTAGGGAAGCCTGGCATATTCCTCTGTCTCTGTCTCCTGCCATAAACTCCGCGGGGGCAGGGAGGGGTTGTGCCTGCTCCCTTCGTCACAGCACTGGCACACAGTAGGTGCTCCATAAATGTCTAACGGACAAGGGAACAAATGGAGTCTGTCCTGCCCAGGCTTGTCTGGGCCCTTGCGGCCCCTCATCCTGTAGCTTGTGCGCTGAGGTGCTGCCTTACTCTGCACACGGCGTCTCATCTCGTCCTCCCCCTGTACCTGGGGTTCTGAAGCACGGGGCCACAGCCAGCCCTGGGGGCATGCGCAGCAGAGCATACAGGGGTGAGGTACGAGGTGGACTCGGAAGTAGGTTGCTGACCACGCCCCTTGTCCTGGGCCCCTGTGCAGACCGCGGGGGGCGGCGGGGGGCGGCGGGGGGCTGTGGGGGGGCGGCAAGCAGAGCTGGGAAGGGGCTGTGGTGAGTCTGTGTCTGACGCTTCCTCACGATTAGATTCAGGTTTTACCACCTCACCGCGAGGAAATACCAGACACAAATTGTGGGTATGCCGTCAAGAAACTGGCCTGAAATCTGCAAAACTGTCAAAGTCACGGAAAGCAAGGAAAGCCAGGACAGTTCCCACTTGAAGGGAACCACAGAGACTTGGCA